CACGATTTGTCTTGTACAATTGTTTGTGATAGCTCCCTCGATCGCACACGAGCACATTTGCTCCACGTGGGTGCCCGAAGGAGCTATCGCCGAAGATTTATCTGGGTCGTGGGGGATTAATACCCCCTATCGCCCTCATTAGCAAGGCGACGGTTTAAAAGTGTGTCGCCGAAAGGGGGTAAAAGTCGTTTGCATAAGACTCGTCTACACTGGTGCATGCTCTTAGTCTATCTGTGTGCGATGTGCCATCTTAATAGACATGCTCTTTAGTAGTGCACAGTGGTGCAGTTCTTTTTTCTGGTAGATGTTGTTTCTGTTTTTCCCAGGGTTTGTGAGTACATTAATAGTCTCCTTGTCTTGATCTCCTAGGCAAGATCATTTTGTTATTCATAAATCAAACTAATCCAAGAGAAGGTTAAATTCTTGATTCCACAACCCCGCCTCTTCATTAGGTCCAACAACAACTGGAATCGGCCAGAGTGTGGATAGCTAAATTTGTTGCCTTTTGGAGGCCATAAAATATGATGTGGTGAGAGGAGAAGGTTGAGTAGGCCAGGGGTCCTACAACAATATATGATGTGGTGAGAGGACAAGGTTGAGTAGGTCAGGGGTCCTACGACAGTATATGTTGTGTTGAGTAACTACCTCTTGCACTTCATCATCAAACCACCATGGCAGATCGTAAGCTTCTAGAAAATCAAAATGTGTAAGAAGATAGTAAGCTTCCGGCGACCGAGGTGAGATCCGCCTCACATATTGAAGCATGTCTAGCAGTGAGTCAAATGTCAGCTAAAGAACATATTTGCAAAGTGGCTCGGCATCAATACGTTAGAAATGGTGGCCCGGCCCATCACACTGAATAGGAGTAGTCGCAACTGGAGTGTTGAGAGATATGGCGGTCAACTTCATGACCATTGTGTCATGCAGTTTTTTTTTAACACAATACAGACGCAAGCATTCATATAAACGTGCATACGCTCACCCATATGAACGCACACCTTGTCCCTATTAGCACTATAGGCACCTCGTCGTCGACGGGAACGTCTCCTCTGAATGCACATCGCCGGAAATTCTAAAATAAATGCGAGCACCAGGATTTGAACCCTGGTAGGCTGAGGTTATCACAGTCCCTCTAACCATCCAACTACAGGTTGGTTCGCATTGTGTCATGCAGTTGAATTAATACTCCACCCAGAGAAGTCGGAGATCCAAAACAAGAGTAGTGAAACACTTAGAGAACAGACACACTGGAATCTCAATTCCATTATACATACATGGTGGTTGGAGAAGCACCCGGGTTTGCCAAACCTTGTTAACAAAATCTCAATGTAGTAGCAACTAGTATCACGTTGTGATATCTTGGTTATTTGTAGATTCTGCGCGCTAGTATCTTCTAAAAGTCACATGCACGTAGGAGATTAAATTGATGACACTGCATATACACTCCTCGGTCCTCACTACGAGTAGAATGCACAACCAATTCTGGCGGTTTCTTCTAGAAGTCACGCGCGCGTAAGTAGGACAACAAATTATGGGCCGGCATGCAAGCATACCAACATGGAGAAAAAAATTGTCGCTTCCATCAAGCGGGCCGTGCTTACTTTGTCCCCATGCTACATCGGCCTCAGGCACAGATCACTGATCAAAGCATGTGTGGACGGCATCAGATCACTGATCAAGGCAGCATACACATCCATATGCATGTTACATCAACTACTAACACGGACATGGTCGTTGTATTCCAGATCGAGAGGGAGCATGTCAACAACACCGCACGCGCGCCTGCGCCAGCTAACAAATATAAGGCCATCCGTCGGCTTCATCAGGCAAAGCTTAGCCATAGCAATCGTGTGTGCACTGCACGGATGGGTGCCTGCATGAGTGGGGACGGTGTAGCGGTCGGAAGAGGCGAGGCGTACGCCGGGTTGGCTCATTACACTGTGGCGATTCCCTTCCGCGAGTTAAATAATGCTCCTCTCTATCTCTAAACAAATATAGGAGTACATGTTTTTAGTTTAGGTCATTAAAGTAGAGTGAGGCGTTTTGGCTCTCGGCCTCCATGGAGGCCGGATTTTTGAAAATTTTCAAATTTCAATCTTTTCAGTTTTAATATAATCTGAAATAAATTGTACATGTGAACAAGGATGTTATGGGTATGTGCGTAAGATTTCAGGATGAAATACCTTGAAATGCGGTTTGTATAAAAAAGACAAATTCATGGCCTGTGAGGATGAATAGTATCATGTGTTAAAAAGTTGTTTGTCGAATGTATTTTATCAGGAACTCGCCAAACAGGAGAGTCCTCATAAAAGCACTCGGCAAATATTCAACACTGCGCAAATCTGTCATTTCCTTAGTGTTATTTAAACTCGGCAAAGATTTTTTTTTCGTTCCTTCCTTTTCTTTATTTTTACTTCATTCAATTTTTTAGTTTCTTTAATTCATCAAATGAAGCTACTTAGAAAGCAGATAATATCGTAGGAAGAATTGAGAGGGAATGGGTCAAGTTTGAAGACGAAACGACATATTTTTTCTGCACTTAACATACATCATTACATGTTCCATGTAAACATTCGGCATTTTTCGGGTTTGTTTGTTTGCTATATTGAAGTCATTTAGTGACTTTTTTCTGGATATTTAGTGAATGTAGTTAAATTTTTAATTGCAAGTGCTTGCAAAATTGGCAACAATAGGCTCATAATCCAATTTGTATTCTTAAGTCTATGTAACTATGTTTTGTTCTTATCAAGGAAACTAGAACTTTAAGGCGCGTGTTGCCGCGCCCACCAATTTTAAAGGTTGGATTACAGAGTCATGAAGAAGTGTTGGTAGTCAAAGAGAATGAATAATTTAGGGTAGAAAACACACATTGCGGACCATACATATGAATGTTTGAAAGATAGTGCCACCAATACGTTTAGAGTGCATATACATAGTTTTGAATGGGAGGCCATGAAATGCATGTAATCACAAGTTCTTACATACACGCAAGTTTATGTAATTAAACTGTGAATAGAGCAATAACAGATATGCTTAGTTTGTTTTTTGCACCCTTATTCATGTTTAGAAGGAACGGCTCATGTACTTGGGAATACAGAATCAATAGCTATTAGCAGACGTGTTTAGGTTTATGAGTTGATGTACGTTAATATAGGTAGATGGCGCACAACCAAACTTGTTTGAATAATTCCTTGTCAAAAGATTCAGTTTTAGAGACAACTATCGAGAAGAGAAATATAGAGACAACTGCAAGCATTAATACCTAACTTTCGTGTTAAAAAAATATTGCCTCTGTTCCTAAATATAAATATTTTTAAAGATTCAATAAGAGACTACATACGGAGCAAAATGAGTGAACCTACACTCTTAGCTACGTCTATATATATCTCTATATAGTTCATAGTAAAATCTCTAGAAAGACTTATATTTAGAGACGGATGGAGTACTAACTTTCTTTCTATCTTTTTTTGTCTGCACCCAAAAAAGAACTTTCTTTATCTCGTGTCTCGTCATCACTTGTACAGGCTGATGGTATTTTTACACTTAAGGAACACCTAGGCGGCCTAGGCCCAAATTAATAGGAAGACCACAAACGAGGTGATGGGCTGGGCCTGTAGGGACCCTTTTTGCGGCTGATCGACCCAACAAATGAGGTGATCGCTAGCTCACCTTCCGGAGCGGCGGCCCTGACTGCGTGTTGGGAACGGATTGTGACGAGGTGAAAACGGCAAGCGACGCTCGGTGAACATTGAGCGATCTGTCCGTTACTATTGTTGATCCGACGGCTGAAGATGTTAAAACGCTGTGGTGGCTTGTAGGTGGTTCCATTCTACTGTTTTGCAATGGAAAGGAATTCCAAACTCAGTGTGCCAAGACTCGACCCCAAATGTAAAGGGTGAAGTGTAATGTAGATCCCTAAACTATTTTAGAAGCGTCAACTAGGTCCTCAAACTATTCAAATTGCAAAAGGCGTGTCATCCAGATTCAAAATCAGTTCAACACAAAAGTAATCCAAGACCTATATTTTGCCTAGTATAACACACTTGCTCTATTTAGAGAACATAAATGATAATTTTCATGGTTTGACAACCACCCTTGAAATAGTTTAAGGACCTACTGTGCACCTCACTCTTCACAAGTATACACTGGAGGAGCAGTTCAACTGTTTGCATGTGAACCACAATTCCCAATACTCGGGCTAGCAAGCTTGATATGGCATCGTTGGCAAGCGGCAAACCACTACTGTTAGGGCTGCTGTAGGCTGGTGAAGCTGACTCGGTTTAGTCCCACCTTGCTTACGGGAGGAGGCCATGACCAGCTTATAAGGGAGAGATTCCTTCCTCACTTTAGTCCGGGCTTTTGAGATGGAGTGGGCTCTCCGCTGAATGTTGGCCCATGTCCGCATAAACGTCCAGAACGTAAGTAGAGTGTGTGCTAGATCGAGTTGGACGCTAACATCTGGTATCAGAGCCAGCATCGCCATGCCTTTCTGAGGGGCTTCTCAAGGGGATGGGATGTTAGGGTTGCTGT